GGGGTTCAGGGTTTTGGAATTCTCTGCCTTCGAGCGTTTGGGTTCGGCTCTAAGCTAGGGTTTAGGGTTTAGGGTTTAGGGTTTGGGGCCAGCGTTTAAGGTAGGCATGCGGTTTCTGGGCTTAGAGTATAGGGGTGAGAGTTTAGGTCTGTTTAGGTTTGCCAAACTTGGTTCGAGGTGGCGGAAGTTAGAAGTGTGCGGAAAGTCGAGAAAGCCCTGTGAATAGAGATGCACGCTTGCGGAACAGGTTTTGGTGTCCCCGTGTAGCCGTAGCACCAGCAAATATATTTCTCATGTATACTTGTATGACTGCTCAGTTGCGAAGGAACCCCCTATAGTCTCCAATGTAGCTACTTTTTTGCTATCCAGGTTTGGGTGAGGATCATATCAATTAGTGGGAGCCCGGTTGTTCGCCGACCTAAAGTCTGCATGCTACACCCCGAACCCTAAACCCTAAGCCTCATAAACCTTAAACCTAAACCCTAAACCCTAAACCCTAAACCCTAAACCCTAAGCCTCATAAACCTTAAACCTAAGCCCTAAACCCTAAACCCTAAAGCCTAAACCCTAAACCCTAAACCCTAAACCCTAAGCCTCATAAACCTGAAACCCCAGAATCATGTCCTTGGTGGCCGCCGAGGTTCAACGACAGCCGAGGGTCAGGCGGGGTGGCCGTTCCTTTCATGCCTGCGCGGGAGCTGCAGGGCCCAAACACGCCCACAGAGTTTGGGGTGCAGGACAGAGAGAGAGATCTAGGGAGGGATTTATGCAAGTAGAGAGAGAGAGAGAGAGAGAGAGAGAGAGAGAGAAAGAGAGAGATAGAGAGAGCGAGAGCCCTCAACCCTAAACGCCTAACCCTGAACCTTAAACCCTCAAACCCCCAAATCCTAAAATTCTAAACCCTAAGCCCTGAACAGAAGGATACTCGCGAGAAAGGGCGTCAGCAAGAGTGGCAGCTTTGCCTTCCCTGAGTCTGAAGCCCGGAACAGAAACCCCCAACTCTCGCGGGTTGAGCCGTTTAGGGCTTTGGGTTTAGGGTTCAGTTTAGGGTTCAGGGCTTGGGGTTTAGGGCTTGGGGCGAATTAGGGTTTAGGGTTGGGGGCTTAAGGTTTAGGGTTTAGGGAAGCCCGTAAAGAAAAGCGAGAACCCTGCGTCCGAACATCTCGAATCGATTCCCGAGCTCCGCCTTGCAATAAGCTAGCTCAAAAGCCCAAAGGGTCCGGTTATGGGGTTTAGGGTTTGGGGTTTTACTTTCCAAAATCGTCAAAGTAATGCGGACTATAGAAACCTCCCTAAACTCTAAACCCTGGGAAAGGCACCCCTGCCTCGACTGTCGCGCTCTCCTCCTTTGGCAGTTGCCTCGATGACGGACTATATCATAGGGTTGAAGGTTTCTGTCTTAGGGTTTAGGGTCTACAGTACATAGGGTGCACGAAGCAAGTTTACGGTTGAGCTCGAGTTTGTGGTGTAGGATGTATCGCATAAGTGCTACGTGGGGCTCGGGACTTGAAGCCCCAAAGCGCATGGTCTCGTGAATGTTAAATTTCAAGATTCCTGTCTTGGAGGTCTTTGCCTAGTTGCATAATATAGGGGCCTTAAAATTTTCCCTATACTATTTTGTGGGTTCCTTCTTATAGCTGGAGTATCATATACCCCAAAACCCTATTCTAATTGTCAAGGCCCCTACATAATGCCGCTTGGGGCTTGGAGTTTAGGCTTTAGGGGATTTTGGGCTGAAGTTATAGGGATTGGGGACTTGTCATTGCAGGCTTGTGCTCTTCGAGTGGTGGAGGTAGCAGATCTTGTTGTTTCGGAGCGGTGGGGGAGGGAGTGCCAAGGTTCAGAACAACGCTGATCTGCAGGGAAACAGTTGGGAAGAGGCATCCACCCTTCGCGGCGCTTTGCAACTTTGAGGGGCTTCGGGTTCTCGGGCTTATAGGGCTTGGTGATTAGAGTTTAGGGTTTGGGGCTCAGGATTTCGATGAGGTTATCGGGGCTGTCTCGGGGGCTTTAACGTACGGGTCTGAATCACTCGCAACGACACTCCCTCATGGTCAGTATACATTTTCCATCACATACACCAGTTCGGGGAGAAGGATCAGTAATGGCAATACCCTCCCAGTGCATACATATTTTTGCTGTACCCTAAACCCTAAACACTAAAACCTAAAGCCTAAACCTATGCTGTACGTACCCCGGCTCGGGATGCGTAGTGTGTAGATCCATTCGGTCCCAAGGGCCCGAACCTTGGGCCCAACAGCTTCAACACTCCCAGGGTTTGGGGTTTAGGGTCTAGGGTTTCATGGAAGCACCGCCAAACTGTTTCGCGAGAAACTCTAAAACTAGAAAGCCCGAAGCCCTAAACAGTACAGCCCATAACGAGCCCCACCCGAACCCAAACCGCTCCCCCCTCACCCATCTTGAAAATGGAACCGAACCCGAACCCAAACCGGAACCTCCCCCCCTCCCTACCAAAAAACGCCTTTTCCTAGCATCTCCGAAGTTTGGAAGCTTCCCGCCCTCCAACCTCAGTACTTCGGAACCTGGGAACCCCCCACCCCCCTCAAAAAAGACGTACCACAACCCTTGCAAAACTTCGGGATTTGCCGCTCGCGAACATCGATTCTTCAGAACCTCAAAACCCACCCCCCCTCCCCCCTTCCTGTCAAAATTTCGGGGTTTTCCGCTCTCAACCTGGAACTTCAGAAACTCAGAACCACTCCCCCCCTCCCGGAACCGCGGAACCCTCCTCCCTGAAAAAAGATGGGGGTTTCTTCTCTCGGATTCCAGAACCGGGACCACGCTGGGGAACCTCGGAACGTCAGAACCTCAAAACCCCCACCGTGGAAGCCAGGCTGCCGCAGCATCTGCAGACTCCGAACCTCGGAACCTCCGCGCAGAACCCGAAACCTCCGAACCTCGAAACTTTCCGGAACCTTCCGAACCTCCCTGCCCCCCCTCAGACGAACAAAATCACAAGCCAACGCCCCGAACCTGAACCTGAACCTCCCCCTCCTCTCCCTCCACTCCAAAACCTCGAAACCTCTGCCTCCAGGACCCAAATCCGAACGCGAACCCCCCTCCCTGCCCCCTTAGCCCTCCGCGCCTCCAAACCTCGAAACCTCGAACCCCCTCCCCAGTCAACACGTGAACGCTGGGACCTCCGAACCTCGGAACCTGGGCCGGTTCCGGTTTGGGTTTGGGCGTTGGTGGGGTACTTACTGCTGCAAAGCCTAAACCCCACATCATGGCTTCGCTCGTCGAGCATTTGCGCACCCTAAACCCCATACCCTGAAGCTCTACAGTTTAGGGTTTAGGGTTTAGGGTTTAGGGTAAACCCTGAGCCCCAAAGCCCGAGACTCTGTGCTTCTATTGATGGTCTCGGGAGGGTTTGAGCGAGGTGGGGTTCTGGTTGGGGTTGAAGAAGCTGAAAGCAGTTCATGGGCCCTAAACCCGAAACCCTAGTTTAGAGAACTAGCCATATGTCTTTTTTTGGCATGGTGCATTCCGAGCATTTGTTAAGGGGTTCCTGTCCGAGCTTAGTATGCAGAACAAGGGGTTATTCGTATGCTCAGAAGGTATTGTGAGGGGTCCTATGAGAAGTTTTGTAAGGACTTAGTGTTGAGGGCTCCCCGAACCCGAAACACCTCAGTTGAGGATTAGGCATCCTTGAGCTCTAAGGGAGCCATCCTTGAGCTCTAAGGGAGAACCGCAATATGATGTAAAGCTTGTTCCTACCTTTGGACCCTAAACCCTAAACCCTAAACTTGAGCATAGGTTGTTATTTGCAGGCTGCAGAGGGGAGGTCAGAATTTACGGTGTGGGGTTTAGCGTTTGCGAATTTAGGGTTTAGGGTTTGGGATTTTGGGTTCAGGAAGTTAGGGTTTAGGGTGTAGGAATTTGTAATTCAGGGTTCAGGGTTGAGGATTTTGGGCTCAGATTCATGATTCACTGTGATTGGGGACCAGCAGAAGGGGAGACGACGGCTACGGTTCACCCTAAACATCAAGAGGCCTTGCTAGTTGGAGTAGGACATTATTCTACTATAGGTATACTACGGTTCAGGGTTTGGGGTTCACGCAACCCTTAAGACGCTTCAAAACTTCGTTCCCCCGAAGCTGTAATCCTTAACATCCTTAGACCGTTGACCCGAAACCAAACCCCAGGGGTTAGGGTTTAGCATTGAGTCGTGATAGGAACCCTAAAGCATAGAATCTTAGACATAGTGCCGTAGCGTTGACGAACGTATGCACTCGTTCCGATGCCAGGACAGGCTCCGTGCGAGGCGACTCATGGAAAGCCAGGCGTCTTTGTTTGCGGTTTCAGGGTTTCTAGTAGTAAGATGATGCTGGTTGTGATGATGATGACGACGATGATGATGTTCGTGCTGACTGCTGCTAGTTTGCTTATTTTTTTTGCTGTTGTTCAGGGTGTAGGGACTTAGTTGTTGTGTTGGGATTTGTGTTAAGACATCTTTAATTCTAGTTTTATTGCTTGTGTTTTGGTGTGTTTAGGGTCTTGTTTTTTTTTTTGTTTGTGGCTCTTGGGGTTTTAGAGTTTCGGGGCTCGGTGGGTATTTAATTCAGCGTTCTGCGGAGGGTCGCAGGCTTGAGTTTAGGGCTTGCTTCAGCCGTTGCTGTGGTGTTCCGCTTGAGAAGCTCTTGTTGCTGTCTAAAGGTACAGACACCCTAAGCCCTGAAGCTTAAACGATGATATCGAAAGGGCTTCTGTACCCTAAACCCTAAGCCCTAAAGCCTAAACGTTGCTTTCGAAAGGGCCTCTGCACCCTAAACCCTACGCCCTAAAGCCTAAATGTTGCTGTCGAACGGGCTTCTTTGTTTGTAAACTCCTGTGCTCTTACCACGCGCCTGCTTAGACCGCCTGTTCAAGCTGTGTTACGTTCGTCTTTTTCGACTTGCGTCCTGGGAAAGCCTGCCTGTTTGAGTTCAAGCATCTGGTTACCCAGAGACTCCAATATTCCTTAATTCAGGAATATTCCTTAAACTATAGTAGGATCCTTAATATGATTTAAGGTATATTCCTTAATTAAGGGATATTGGAGTCTCTGGGTAGTGATAGGAGCCTCAAAGCACTTTCTAGGGTTTCGGGTTTAGGGTTTAGTCTATGACAGTACCGCGCTGCCGCGACACCTCCTTTAGACTTGCGGCGCACCATGATTTATCCCAAATCGGACTCTGGTTATACAAGCCCTGTTTTCTTTTCGCTGAACCCCCCCAGAACCTTCCACCAGGATACTTCAGGGTCACGGCGACCGAGGAAATCGAGTTTTACCTACAGTTTCTACGGGCCGTGTACGAATCTTTGATGTATATCCGAAGCCCTAAACCTGAGACCCGAAATCCAAAACCCGAAACCGCAAGCCGATCACCGGACGTGAATAATTTTGAATAAGGTGGCTCCTAGGCGATGCGGCTGTGGTATCCTCACTTTGTACTCGTGGCTGTTGGGCTTTGTAATCTGTGGCCTTTTGCACGTTGGGCCTAAGGGTCTTGGGCAGTCTCGTCGCGGGGCGCGGATGGCCGTTCTTTTCAGAGCCTCTAGCCGTAGAAGCTGCTGACAGTAGAGAGGTACAAGGTTATGAAGGGAGTACGGTTCAGGGTTTAGGGTTTATCGCAAGTAGGGCTGTGGCTTTCGGTTCCGCGGTTTTCGGTGCAGGCTCAACTCCAAGCCTAATGAGACACCTCAGGAGTCCCAACCAGCGAAGCTCCAAATCCTTCATGTAGGAGCCTAAATAAGTACCAATACTATTTTGGGGGGCTCCTTGAAATCATTATAGTACAATGTACCCCGAAGCCTGCTTCTACTTATTAAGGTCCCTATAATAAGCCCGGCACAGGTGCCACTGCCCTTCAACGAAGGTGGGTCGCCATCGCAAGATGGGAATCCCATTCTGAGAGGGAAGGGTGACGCGAAGTTAAGTGAAGCAATGGCCTCCTTGCAGGATGATGCAGCGACGAGCTGTTTAGGGCTTTGGGTTTAGGATTTGACGTTTATAATGATGGTGGTGACCATGTCGATGATGACAGTGGCGATGCTCACGACGCTGTTTGCGATCTGCTAGCCCTTCTAATCAGCACGGCACCAATGCTGGTGTGAACCGAAGGCTACTGTCAACACGTATGCTTGGACTTCCACCGCAACTGCCACTCATTTTAGTATCGAGCTTTCCCTCGAACTATAAGTACCGGGCAGTTGAAGGCTACTCCTGATGTCATCTGACATGTGTTCATGCACGACTGTTGCTTGTCAGTGATCATCTGCAAATCACGATGCCGAGGCTCAAAGGTTAAACTAAGGCCCACAGCGTACTGGAATCCGTAAATCGATCATGACCGACTCGGTACGCGCGGCATAGGGTTCCGGGTTTCCGACTTTCCATGTGGCATGAAGCTGAAGCCCCCATCCTGAAAATGTAGAGTCATGTAGAACCCGAAATCCTGAAGCCCATGCTAAAGACTTCTGAAATGCTCGGAGTCAGCGCAGGTTTGCCTATGACGGCAGCGTGCCGCGGCTGCAGAGAGGTATAAATCCTGCTGTCTACAGGGTACGCCTGGTTACCAGCACGGCCGAAACCCTAAACCCTAAACCGTCCCAACCGAGGCAGTGCATTTCTAAACACAGACACAGGCAGGAGGTTGCGAGGTGGAGGTCCTGGGCCGGGTGGCTTCAAGTTGCGCAGGGGTTCACGGTTTTCTGGGGTTCTTGTTAAAGGACACTTAGTTTACTTAAGTTGACAGAAGAATAGACGCCGAATATGGTCACCTAAAGTAAATCGCATATCGAGACTTCGAGAAGCCAGGATTTCCGGTTTCTGGCGTTCCGATTTCGGGCGCCTTGAGTACCGCCACGTAGAACGACCCATTCCTTGGGGGTAGCTGTGGGTGGGGGTCGCCTCCGTGCCCTAAACCTTAAACCAAACCCTAAGCTCTACAAGCCCAAAACCTTCAACCTTAAACCAAACCCTAAGCTCTGCAAACCCAAAACCTTAAACCTTAAACCAAGCCCTAAACCCTAAAAGCCCCAGGGCCCTAAACCTGAATTCGGGTTTAGGGTTTAGGGGCCGCAAGACGCTTTCGACCTCAGCCTGTGACCCCTCAGAGAAAAAACACTGCAGCTCGGAAGGACGGCCGCTCTTACGTTCGGGGAGGGACGGGAGACTCAGGGCCAAAAGCCAGGCGGTTTGCAAAAGTTTCAGCGGTTCAGGGTTTAGAGTTTAGAGTTTAGGGTTTAGGTTCAGGCTTCAGGGTTGAGGATTTAGGGCTCCGTAGGACCATCGGGTTGAGGTATCGGCAAGCACGCGATATCGTCAAGCACACGTGATAAGTGGCTTGTATCTACAGAAGAAGCCTGAACAATTACTACTACTACTACTACTACTACGACGACGACTACTACTACTACTACTACTACTACTACTACTACTACTACTCCCCAGGATTCCTCCATAGTAGCCATAGTATTAACAATCCCCTCACATGCCCTAGTCTAGTACTGAAGGCCCGAGCATGGCAGATCTTGATTCTGTTGTGTGCAGTCTATCCATGCTGGCAGGGTGGGGGATGAATGGATTAGTTCCGGTTGTACAGAACCAAATCGGAGCTGCTAAGGGTTTAGGGCTTAGCGTTTAGGGTTTAGGGTTTAGGGTTCTAAATTATTCCAGGTCGGTAACATCCCACAACCTAACTTAGGAACCCTAGACCCCTAAGCCGCCAGACCTCAATCCAAAACCCCAAACACTGAACCCACGAGCCCCTAAACCTAAACCCTAAAAGTCAAAACCCCAAACCCTAAGCCTAAACCCTTATGTCCAGGGTAGGGCTTGCAGTTTGCGGGGCCTAGTCCGCACTGCCGCTTCAGCCTACCACAGAGGTCTAAATGATGACCAATACTATTTTGGGGTCCTTATGACAACTGTAATTTAGCATGCCCCAGAACGATATTAGCATGTGTAGGGGCCCCATATTCGGAATCCTAGGATGAACCTCAACTGTTTGCTGAGGTTTGCGAAACGCAAAACTCTTCCGAGGAAGCTGCCATCGCTCAAGGCAATTGGTTTAAGGTTGGCGTTCAAGGTTGGGGCTTTAGTGGCTTGGCTTATCTTTTTGAGGGCATCGGTTTTGGTTGCTCGGTAATGGGGCATGTGGCCGTGAACACTACTTGTCACTCGTCATACCCTCCCCTCACAAATCCTAAACCCAAACCCTAAACC